GGAGCAACGGGAGGAGCCGGAGGGAGCCGGGCTGGGGCTCCGGGGGCGGCCCTTGGGCTGCGGGAAGCGACGTGCGCAGTTAGGAGGCGCCTGTGGGAGCGCGCGAGTGGAGCGCGGGGTCTGCCTCAGACGGACTCCAAAAACAAACAACCCCCCAAGTAAATATTTTACGGGAAAACATTTCCCCGGTGCGGCTCTTCACATGCCACCACCACGCACAGCAGAGGAAGCGATATCTGCAGGAGCGAGTGGTCCTGGCCAAGTGCTTGAGCCTTGTCATTAACAGAAAAACATCCATCGTTTTGTTCCGTGGTTCTGTCATCGCTTGGGGGCTTTCGGTTTTGCTTTCTTTTCCTCCAACGCACGTTAAAGTTTTCCCTAGCAAAAAGTCTAAACCCTAAGCAAGTTTTCTAGTCTGGGTTTACTACTGTGCTGGATGGTATCTTTGTTACACTGAGAAAAGCCATTTTGCACCATTTTGGTGCTACTTTTAAAATGGTTCAGCCCCGGAAATGTAAAACTTCCCATCACCCTTCCCCGTCCTGTAACTCTACATTTCTTGTATTAATATTAACCAATCCAGTGGCTCATGGCCACAATATTCTTTTATTATAACCAGCTTTTATTATTTACAGTTGGAAACAGCCGGGAAATGAATTTAATATATTTTTCCCTTCAAATGCTCTTGATCACAAAGTAAACTCTAACTAGAAAAACGCCTTAATACGCATCTGCATTTCACTTTCTTCTCCTCAGAAGACAGACAGTTCACGTGCTTGCAGATCAGTGCTCTACATCGTATTTCACCTGGGCAACCTCCTTACCACAGATTTTGGAGGATACTTTTCCTTGTGTTTAGTGGCGTTATCAGTCATAACAAAATGATATAATGATTTATGACTCTGTTGCTATCTCAGCTGGCCTTCTTAGGGCCCCTGATAGTTCAGGTGGTTGCAGAACATTGAAAAACATTACTCATGTGGGATCATTAGATTTCCGCTAATTAAATTAAACTCTCTCCTTCTAGTCTACCCAACGCACATTCCTACATCTGATGCCTCTTCCAAATCCTAACTCCATGCTGTTCCAAACCCTATCTGTTATTTTAACCTTGGGTTCAGTGTTTTATGATGTGAAAGAAAAAATCATAGTTCTCTGGACTATTATGCTTTGGAAAATGAATGCCAAGAAAGGATTGGTGACAGTTTATCACTGAGTCTCTGAGCTTACACTCAAGCAGAATTATCTCTAAATCTCTGAGCTTTTGCTTTATGCCTGAGTGTTACAGACAGAAACTAGTTATGTTATGGTTTGTCCAACTTTTGAGGGATAGTATCTTGTTTAAAAAGTTTTAATTCAATTGTTTTAAGCTGTACAGTCAAAGCAGATGTTCTTTCAAGAAAACAAATGGCTTTTTACTTAACACAGTATAGCATGCAACTAGTTTTGCATATTCTAGTATCGAAAAAAAATACTATCCAGAAGACAAAATAAGGTCAATCAGTGTAAAGCATAGTGGATAGATTGCAAAGAAAACTTTCCTTAATAGTTTTTATAGTTTATTTTACCATATGTGCAAATCTTAATATTTTGTGCTAAAAATAGTACTAAAGATTCCCCATACACTTGAAATGCTGTTTTGTGTTTCTGTAGGGTAACCCATGAATTAAGATTTACATGAGTCTTACAAAAGAGCTGTCTTCTGTCCTCAGCCTGAGCTGGTATTTACTTGGGAGAAGCCTGTATTTCCAACTTTTCCTGCAGTCTTTCTGCACAGTCTTTCTCCACAATTGCTTTGTGGTTCTGTGTAACATGTTAGACTCTGTGTTCTGCACCTACACCTCATTTCTCCCAGTATTTATGGTGCTTTCAATAAAACTTTCTTTCCTCTTCCTTGTGTTTGCACAATTAAAAGAAGCAAAACACAGAAAGTTTTAGTGCTTCCTCTAATGCAAGGCTAAGGTCAGGAGAGTGTTACATGATCAAGTAAACAAAATGGGAGCAGAAATAAAGGTAAATACAGATGTTGTGTATGGTGTACAACTCCCTGCATTTGCTTTATGACAAATGCCTGGAAATGTTTCGCAGCAAAAACACCTTTGTTGACTCCACTCGTGTATTAAAAAAAAAAAGTGATAAAAATCCTAGTTAATTGTAGAGCATATCGCCTCAGCTTGCATGAAGTGTTATGGCACACGCGAGACCGTAGGCGCCCCAGGGCTGCAGCACCCTCAGGCCGTGACGGCCCCGGCTGTCCCTGCAGCCT